TATGTTGTCCTCCACAATTACAGCATTTTTCCTGGACATTGTCTCCACATTCCTGAATCTTGTGCTCCCCACCACATTTTGAACACCTTTGTTTGCCCTTACACACAGCAGCAATATGCCCATACCTCTGACACTTGTAACACCGAAGTGGAGGTGGAACGTAAGGCCCGACTGGATAACTGATAAATCCTATCATAACTCTGACTGGTACGACTGGAGCAGAGATTTCCAGCATTACTGACAGGCTGTCAACTCTTTCATTGTTTACTGTTCTCTGTAGTCTTTTAATTCCTGTCACTTGTACATTCTGAATGTTACGTTTTATTTTCTCTAAATCTTCATTTAGTGGAATGCCATAAATAACTCCTCGTGTTACTTTGTTCTCCCCTAAGACTCTTTTATTTTCCACTCTTTTCTTGGATATGGTTTCAACCAATAACGCTTTTCTTTTTTGGTCTTCTGATTTACAATTTACAAGTAAATTGCCATCTCTTAAGGTTTTTGCCAATTCAACCTCCCCTATTTTCCTTTTGATTTCCTTGGATATTGTTATTGGGCTTAGAGTAATATGTTCATCTTCTTTTTTTAATTTTAAAATGATCTTGATTTCTTCTTTCATGATCTTTTTACGCATCCCACTATTCCCTTCATCTGAGCTATTTCCTTCCAGATATCTTTTATTTACTGAATTTCCATCCGCCTGATTATTATTGCTTTTCCCATTTCCCCGTTTAATTGTTGCAGGCGTCCAACTACCTATATCCATGTCACTATCTAAATCCTCCTCTTCTACCTCCTTAGCTGCCATCCCGATTCATTCACAAACCGGTTTATGCCAACCGCCAAAGTTTCCGACTTGAATTCTTCCAAGTTTCCTCCTTTGATCGTGATTTCCTCCAAGCCTTCGTCGTTCGTCCGTAGCCAACCTCCCGTCACACACCTCCTCGCGACTGACAGCTGGCATTAACTCGTCAATGCAAAACCCTCACTTCAAGTCGAAACTGTTCGCTTGTATTGTCTGAGGCAAGTCTACGTAACCTATGACCAAGAACAGACTTTGATAGATCCTGTTCTTTAAATCAAACAGGGTGCCAACTCACACCTGATCATCATCCCATTGATTGAAAACACCTGACTCTAATTTCATCTTCAAATTAACTGCTAATCCTAGAGGTTCACAAACTTTTGTCACTCACAAATATGCAATATTGGATAAATTTTCTCAATAAATAAATGACTGTGTATAATGTTTTTGTCTTGTTTGTTTAACTGGGTTATCCATATCTAATTTTATGACGTGTGAAAATCTGATGATGTTTTAGGTCATTTTTATGCAGATATAGAAAATTATAAAGGCTTCACAAACTTTCAAGCACCACTGTAAGTCAACACAACTCAAAACGGTTCAATAATCGCAAGTGTCCAAGTCCCGTTCAGAGGTAAGCTTTCAAAAAATAATCCAGTCCATCCGAACCAAAGAGGCGAAGCAGAACTGTCTCTCTCATCACTTCTCTGCTTGCTCTCGATGAGGACGTACGCTTTCCCTCCTGCTCCTGCCTTGCTCCTGCTTTGCTCGTTGTCTTGTGATTCCTATTGGAGCCTCTCACTACTTATCCTCCAAATTGTAAATTATGGATCTGGTCAGCTGGTCTCTCAACACAACTGATAAAATTTTGTTGACGAGAAGACAGGGTGAAAGAGAGCCCTTATGCCCTGAAAGGACACTTGCAGCTGAAAATACTATGGTATCCTGGGGGCAGTGGAAGATGGTGAGTCTGTCTATATTGTCCGTTGAGGATGTTAAAGATGAGTACATAAATGGATTTATGATAACAGGATTTCTGCTTTTTGAAGTCAGTGGTTACCTGGTTTATTGACAAATGCAAAAAATGTCAGCAACTGCTCTGGCCTTGGTAGAGCTGCCTGTCTTGTATGAAGGAATGTACCAAGCAGTAAGCCCTCAGACTCAGATGCTGCATGAGCTGAGCTGTAAGCTGGACGCGATTTCTGAGAATCGCAGGCCACTTGCAGCTCCAGGGACTCACTGGGGGGAAGGAATCAACCTTGGAGAAGGCTACAAGCTCGATCCGGCGGTGTGACCACAAAATTTAACTGTTTGGAATCGCCGCTGAGAAGTACCAGCAGAACTTTGAAGGCAGACATGGAAATCAAGCAGAGTCTGCCCGACCTAAAATAATTCTGTTACCAGAGGTCTCATCTGGTCTCACAGGTCTCACTTGTAAATGAGTCTCAGAGGCTCAATGTGATTAATCTGTATAAAGTTTGAATGAAAAAAAAACCACTGCTGTGCTGAAGCAGAGTGATGCGTTCAGTGTGTGTCCAATGTCTCCCTCGTTTCATTTCCTAAAATGAATAAACTCACTTTAGCAATCCTCTTTAACTACTTTTATAAACTAACTACAAAGTTGCTGTGTGTCATCATCAATATTCTCATGGTAATAAACCTGTTTGTATTAAATTACATGTGTGAAATGCGTGAAAAGGTCACGTCCCAGAGACAGAGTGAGTGTTGCAAAGCATGCTGGGTAGGAATTATGTGTGAAATGTTTCTGTTTACTATGTTTGTGAGTGTGAAAATGGGTTTTTCATGTTATTTTCCTGTTCTGGTTTGGTTTGTTATTCATGTTAAAGTCTCTGTTTTTGTCTGTAAACTGACACCACGAGCACTGCAAGAGTGGTGATATCACCAGGTGACGCTTAGCTTTGCGTAGCACTGCATAGCATGGTATAGCATCACGCAACGAAAATCACCATTCTCTGTGGAGAACTGTCTTTTTAAAAAAATTAACAGACTTGATTTGACTAAATTTAAATACAGTGAAAGCTAATTCTGCTAAAGGTTTTCAAAGTTAGCAAAAACGCTAATCACTAAGCAGAAAGTGAGTTACACTATTAACAGGTTAGCAGAATGGCGCCCCCTAATGGTACAACTATAATCAAAGCAAACAAAAAAAAAAATTAAACATTAAGGCAACAAATCTTAAATTGAGGGGGAAAAATAATTGATAAAGCAATTTTGCTAAATTGCTTGAATTTATTCGTCACTTGTTTTTTTTTATAAATCACCAAACCTGCATTTATATATTGTTTGTTTATATTGTATGTTTTTTTTATTAATTGGTTAAAACAAGTTATAAATTAAGCACAAAAGAGAGCTGCAGAGTTAAATGAGTAAATTGATACAAAAGTAATTTAAAATTGCTGCTGTTTTTATGGTTTTGCACCTTTAATCTTAAACAGATGTAAAAATAAAGCAATAAACCAGCAGGAAGTTGTTTTGCAGTGTTTATAATGTTATATGATCTTAAAAATAGCAAGTATCATTGGAAAAATATGAATTTCCTTTATTTTAGTTTATGTACCAACATTTTTTTTCTCTTGGGCCGGTTAGTTTCTTGAACAGGTTAAGAACATGTTCGAAAAAGCAGACGTTTGTGGTTTTAAGCAGATTTATATACAAGACATTGTGGAAGTGGTTAAAACACTCTTACAGCTGTGATGATCTGTGAGCGAGGTCGGCGGTCTGTGACTCTCGGCCGTGATGCCGTCGGGTGATTGAGCTTCTCCGTCGACGTGACAACTGCATCCAAGTCGACATCTGAGCAGAAACACACACACACCAAAAGGATGACAATAATGCAGTGATGAGAGGAAGAATCGAAGATCCGGTCAGTCCAACTCACCGGAGACATGTGACCTGTCAGGGGCAGAATCTGGTGTCGAAGCCCCACCATCAGATTTGGGGCTGCCACACCTGAGCAGGTAAATCATACAACATTAGGCCCTGTATGGTCTGACATATGAAGATGCTTTCTGTCAGTATGAGGTTATGAGTACTAACGCTAGTGTGGGTGGTCTCTCGGGACGCCGTGGTGGATGAGAGGAAGAGGAGGAGCTTGATTTTGGGAGGAGGGGTTTCTTGGGAAGGTGAGATGGGAGAGAGGGCTTAGGGATGTCTCCAGTCTTCATCTCTTCACCTAAATACATACAAATTCACAGAACTGAAAGGAAACTCAAAACAGACATATCACACTCATGTTTCTGAGAAGAGAAAATAAACACAGCAGCAACAATGAGCTCAACTTGACCTTTGAAGAGAAATAAAAAGGAAGCAAAGTGACACAATAGAGGAACAAGGTTTGAAATGCCAAGAACTATAGGAATAAAAGGTTAGCAACACAGGACCAAGAGGAGCAGGAAAATCCAGCAGCAAGGTGGGGGCAGCAGTATTTAAGAGATTGTATCTATTGAAACACAAACTAAGCAATAAAGTATATTTTAACAGTTTGTCTCCTCCTAGTGAAACGGTGAAAGTCAAAATGAAATTGGCCAGAAAACAACCAAATGAGTCCAATGGGACTGAGTTTGTCAAGTCTTTTGGATGAAAGACGAAATGTTTCAACACAAAGAAACCATCCAGAGGACCTGACTTAACCATAAGAAGCACCTTCACATAGTGGGCCAACCAGTTTGATGGTGATAAGATGGTTTCTGGAGTCTGCCCTCTCACCCATCGACTCCTCTTAAGCAGCCATGGCCAAAGTGGTTCAAAACATCAAAGTCTCAAACAACCAAATTAGTGTTTAAACGTTCCCATTTTATTATTATGCTAATGAAAAATTAATCAACTAGATTGGTCCTGAATAAAGAGAACTTCCTGTTTCCAAGTTTACCCTCCCTCACCTGCTGCCAGGCATCCATTACATCTGACTTTGATGGACCTCCCTGCAGGTGGTGGGCCCATGTGATGATGGCTTCCTGTCCTTTAATCTGGTTTGGCCCGGCCGAGCCACAGGAGCCAAACCACAACAACCAGGCACTCATCAGCTTCCCCACTCCCCCAGGCCTGGCTCCAGGGAGATGCCCTGGTTTCCCTTTTCTGAGCGAGATTTCTTATGCGACTGTTGTTTTGCCATCAAGGGTTTTTGAATCACTCTTAGTTTGACCCCTCTCCCAAGGCCTGCTTGCCATGGAAGACTCTACCAGGGGCTAATAGTGGTGGTGAGGTGGTTCGGGCATCTGATTGGGATGCCTCCTTGACACCTCCCTTTAGAGCTTTTCCAGGCACATCTCACAGGTGGGTCATCATGGCCATGGGGGAGACCCAAAAGTTGCTGTAGGGATTGTATATTCTCTCTGGCCTGGGAACGCCTCAGGTTCCCTTAGAATAAGCTGAAAAGTGTCACTGGGGAGAGGGATGTTTGCGTTTTTCTCCTGGACCTGTTGCCTCCGCAACCCGATTGTGGATAAGATGGACGGATGGACAGATGGATGGATGGATAGATAGATGGATTGATGATTTAATGTCTTTCTGTGTAAACCATTCGGACAAGGAAAGATTGAATGGAAAGCCTCCTGACTTCTTGTACAAACATAAATCTTAAAACAGGACTTCCATCACTTCATCTGATATAGGATAGATTTTTTTAAACCAAATTACAAACATATATAACAGAAAATTAGACAAATTGGCAGTAAGCTGATTTTATGTTTTATCCAAGTACCATAATTTCCAGACTATAAGACGCTATTTTTTTTTCACATGAGGCTTAAACAATGCTGCGGCTAATTTATGGATTTCTTGTTTTGGACAGGCTAACAAAATTCATGTAGCCAAAATATTAAGCCTTGTCACATCTGGGTATAGCTGCCCAATACACATCTCTCTTGGGGGATGGGTCATTGTGACTCAATGAGACTGTGTATAGATAAAGATTTAAAAAAAAATCTGACCAATAAAATGACTGAACAGGTCACAGTGGACTAATGAAACGGGGAGTTCCTGGGGACACAACAAAGTATATGTGGCCGCTTGAAATGTGAATCGTGCATTTAAAATGGCACTTCGAGCTCAGTGGGAGGCTTGGATGACTGGCAGTGAGAAACTATTTACGAACACTGGCAAAAAGCAACTTTTGCTTAATTCTGCCAGTGGATCCTGACAGCAGAGCAGTGTAAAAAAAAATTCTCTATCACCAACGGGTGTTGAAAGGCTGCTGCGTGATGGAGGAAAGCACAAACTTGTGCAGAAGGAAGATGAAGCTAGTGATCAACGACTTCCTGGTAGGCTACTGTATTTATTTATGTTTTTACCAGCCATGTTACTGGCACTGTTCAGAAGAAAAAAAACAAAAAACAATTACGGTACGTATTTAAGTTTTTAAAAAATCTTTCAAGCGCGGCCTATATATGTACAAATGTATTATTATGTTTATTTAGTGGGTGTGGCTTATAATCGGGTGCGCTCTATAGTCCAGAAATTACGGTACTTACAAATGTGTATGCATTTGTTATAACGCTGCCAGTGAAGAAGCATGTAACATTTATACAGTTTTGTAGTAAATAAATGTTTCAAATAATCTTTTTCGATTCTATTATGTGTAAAAACTGAACCTTTTGTTGTTTCTTTCCCCTTGTTCTATTCCATCAAAAAGCTTGTTTTCAGGATTTTATTTTATTTTTTCAGTAATTTGCTAGGCAAGTTTATTTTCCTTTTTCAGTTTAGTTTACCTATTTGAGTTACATACAAGTAACTGCTTTGTGTTGTTTTAGCCTTGCACCATTGTGGTGAAGAGTGGAAGCATCTGTCTTGCACCAGCAGTACTGTCGGCACCAGCAATTACCAAGATGAAAACCACAGTTCTTGTAGCTTCCTGCTGCGTGTAGACAGATGCTGATACACTTTCTCAATCAAAGCTCTGTTACTCTGCACACAAAGGAGCGGAATCACGCTGCTCAAGCTCAGACAGAATATTAGCCTTTGTTCTTCAAAGCTGCAGCTCAGATGTTAGTTTGCTGTTAGTTTGCCATTGCTAATAGAAAGTTGTAAAATGCTGTAAAAGAAGACCAATGGCGGTCAAAGCCGTCCAGGTTTTACCTCGATCCTGGTCCTTATGGGGGAGATGTTCAGGCCGCTCAGGAGGAACCTTTTTCAGTTCAGGTTTTTTCTCTAAAGATTCAAGTTAACGGTTTTCTGGTATTTATTTGTCTCATTCTTTTCAATAACAGAAGAGAAGAAGAAAAGCAAGTTCTTACCTGTGGTGTGTTTAGCTGATGGAGCGCTGGGTGGTGGGGGTTTCTTCGGTCTCTGAAAACACACAGCCAAACAATCATCCCAGTAATTATTTTAAATGGCTTTAAGGCATTAGCAACTAGCTTCTCAATCACTGCCAGGACGCTACAATCACCTCTTTCTCAACTTCAAGCAGTTTGACGAAGTTATCTGGGAAGACGCCTTGCCTTCCTGCGATCTCCCCCATCCACCAGCCTGCATCGGCACAGTCCTGGATAACACAGTTTCAGTAATGATTAGTGTGCTCATCGTGAACGACTGCCAAGACAAAGCACCTACTGATAAACCGACACTCACCTTGGTGATAATGTTGATGATGTCACCCTCCTTCAGCGAGAGCTCGTCTTCATTTTGTGCTTCATATGGAAAAAGGACTTTGCACTGCTCCCGCACTGACAAACAAAACACAGCAAAGATAAAAATTAATTCAATACCAAAAGGTGCACTGAAATATAGGCTAATGTGTGAAATTAAAGTGGTGTTTTAAGTAGGGATGCACAATGGATTTTTGGCCGATATGTTAAAACTTATTTGGCCGATAACCGATACCAATACCGATATTTTTCCCTAGACCTACTGTACTTATATAGCTTTACATAGCTTGCACCATTTAGCTTTTACTTGCATAACTTTTACTTACATAGCTACATAACTTTCTCTGCTGTGGAATTAAAATTCTACATTTTTCTGCATGGTCTTTGTCAATTTGGCCTGCTACCAAATGCAGACACCAAAAAGGGGGCTGAAAATGATGTAACACTTCAACTTGGATTATGCTTAATGTCAAATTTATTCATGACATTTACTAACACAATGACAACACTCGAACAATGCAAATTTGTAAACTTTCACAAATCTAAACTCACAAGGCGCGCATGATGTCATAACGATGTGCTGGCACTGCAGACATCCTTGTCACTGAGTTGTCATAC